TATATATATATATATATATATATATATATATATATATATGTGTGTGTGTGTGTGTGTGTGTGTGTGTGTGTGTGTATAATACACACATAGATACACATACATTAGTACCATTCAAATGATTGTATGTTTTTGGAAAGTCTCTTATGCTCACAGAGGCAGCATTTATTTGATTAAGAAGACAGTAAAAACAGGAATATTGTGAAATATATAAATAACTGTTTTCTATTTTAATATATTTTCAAATGTAATTTATCTCTATGATGCAAAGCTGAATTTGCAGCATCATTACTCCAGTCTTCAGTGTCACATGATCCTTCAGAAATCAGTATAATATGCTGATTTGCTGCTCAAGAAGCATTTTTTTTGTTATCAATGTTGAGAACAGTTTTGCCGATTCATATTTTTCTAAACATTTTTCCTAGAAAGTTCAGAAGAACAGCATTTATTTGAAATATAAATCTCTATACTATAAATGTCTTAATTTTTGATCAGTTTAATGAATCCTTGCTGAATAAAAGTATCAATTTCTACCAAGAAAATATTCTATTTTACTTAAAAATCCATCATGTTACAGAAATAAAATAGACTCATTGGGCTGCATGTCTTTCATGTTAACTTTATTTGGCACAGTGTTTCATTGAGGTACCTCTGCCTTCTGTAACCTAATAACTCCCCAATCTCAGCACTAATGAAATGTGTTTTGAAGTAGCAGCTGGTCGGGACATCTGTGACAATACAGTAGTGCAACTGAGAAACATATTTCCAACCACAAACATTTATATATCTCAGAAATAATTCTGCACAAGCAGCAACCACTCTGAAAATGCCGTAATTATTATCAGTATTTGCTAATGCAAGCATGGCTACTATTGCGCATATTCATAGGGATTTGAAATATTTCCATGCATGTGTCCTCCTGCCACACCCGGCCGGGTATATGTGTCCATGCAGCACTTGTGATGAGTAATTTCCACCAACGACATCTGTGGGCATGACGTTATGGTTGGCAGGAAGTCGGCATATAATACTCCCACTTATTTTCATTCATGTGGTAATAGAACTTAACTTTGTGTTCTGAATCTGGAATATTCCTTTATCACATCTTTGTTTAGCCACTGTACTGATACATCAACAAGCCTATGCTTAATCAAAGTGAGTGAATCAGAGCTGATACAAGATGTTTAAATTTAACCATCCAATATCCACCAGATTTCAGCCTCCAGCTCTGCAAAAGCATCTCTGACATCCCCTGGCATCACACATCCATCAGGATCCAACGGATCCCTGAATCATCCAGAATCAATGCTGCGTCTGCAAAGAATAGGTGTGTGTGTGTGGGTGTGTGTGTGTGTGTGTGTGCCCATTTTGATGTTTACTGGAATAGTATACAGTATAAAACACTTTACAGTGTCAAAAACAGAAACAAGGAGTTGTGTTGTAGAATTTGAGACTTGATAAGAGTGCATTTGATTCATTACGGGGCAAGTTGTCCAATATGATGTAGTGATTTTAGAATTTGTTCTTTTTCTTTTTTTTGTGAATTTTTGTTCTGAAACTGTAAAGTACTTTTTCATGTAAATCCAGGTTGTTGCATTTTTATTCTTCTTAAAGGCTGAATTACTAAGAAATAGCCTTTGTGACAGCTTCCCAGTGTGACAACTTGCCCCTGCTTGTTTCAGTATGTGTGTGTGTGTGTGTGTGTGCGTGCGTGTATGCGCGTCTGTGTGTGTGTGTGCGTGCGTGCGTGTTGTTAGCAGTGTTGGGGAAAGTTACTTTTAAAAGTAATGCGTTACAATATTGCGTTACTCCATAAAAAAGTAACTAATTACGTTACTTGGTTACTTTTTACGGAAAGTAATGTGTCACGTTACGTTACGTTACTTTTGCGTTACTTTTTAAATCTGGACAGGGCTTGCTTGTTTGTTTTTAAAATAAAAAAGTTCTATTTTTGACAAATATAAAAGCCTTTTCACAGCAAAAGTGAAATAAGCCTCAGGCTGAAGGGAAAGAATGCAGAAGAAGACATTTCAACACAAATGTTTGTCTAGAGTAATTTGTGCTTATTAGTATGATTGAACTGGATCATCGAAGGTCAGAAGCAAAGACATTGCTTATTAGAATGGGATTAAATACATAAAGCATATTTGTGTTGTTTAATTATTGCAGATTTACGTCATATTCTGAGTTGCATTATTTTTATTAATTTTGAGGAATACTGAATCTGTGTTTTTTTTTTGTGTGTGTTAGTGAGATGAATTAATGCATATTCATCTTTTTTTTAAATTTTTTATAAACATTATTCAAATACAAACACTTAAGGCATATTTTAACAATCATAAATCTGTGTTCCCCCGTGTTGAAACAGCATTTAAAGAACAACTAAAAAATACAGAGAAAAAAATAAATAAAAATAAAAAGACTACAGTAACATCTGATTTCTCCCAACATGGGGACAGGAGAGCTGTCAATCAATACATTGGGAAAAAAGAAAGAGTAACTTGAAAGAGTAACTCAGATATTTTATTGTAAATTAAAAAGTAATGCGTTACTTTACTAGTTACTTGAAAAAGTAATCTGATTACGTAACTCGCGTTACTTGTAATGCGTTACCCACAACACTGGTTGTTAGGGGGTGTGACAGCGACTTCACTTCCTCCTTCCAAAACCCATTCTGTCAAAATCCACTTCCAGCTAAACCGACCAAACGCACCGAGCTGAGGACGGTCGGGAGGAGCGCTCCTCCTCCTCCTCCTCCTCCTCCTCCTCACAGCTGAAGATGGCGGACCCGGCCGAGTGCACCATCAAAGTCATGTGCCGTTTTCGGCCTTTAAACAGTTCGGAGGTGACGAGGGGAGACAAATACATCCCCAAATTTCAAGCAGACGATAATGTGGTCATCGGGGTGAGTTTATAACATGATATTATAATGACTCTGCGCTGTGACACCCGCCATCCATTTCTATTAGCATCCGCTAACCACCTGCAGACGTATCCTGACAGAAAATATCATCTTTAACAACTATATGTATGGAAATGTGATCGTAATGCGTATTTTAGAATTATTCTGTGGGAAATGCTGCACGTGAGGCCTTCATTCAGTAACATAATCGTAAGGTAAGGAGTTTTAAGTCATCGTTAGCTCGGTGGCTAACAGCCCTCAGATGTAACGTTAATGCAGCACAATGCCAAAATGTTTGATTTTGAGCTTAAAAACAGTTGAACCTAAGCGTAATTTTGTATTTTAGTGCACTTCGAAATGGATTTTGATGTTAAACGGTTGATAAGTATCCGCTAGCTCCTGTGCTAATATTAATGGGGTTGTTTTCATGTAGAAAATCAACAAAAGCTAACTAAATATGTACGTATTTCACATTTCATACCGGAATTAACGTTAATATGAGTTAACAATGAATAAATGAGGTGAATGTGATCATAAGTCACTGATGTCAGTCTGTTATGATTTGGCCTAACGTACTTTAATAACAGGAATGAACAAAGACCAATTTAAAGTATTTGTTATGGCTTTACTATTTATGCTTCTATTAGGAACAAAGAAAGACGTGTATTTTTAGAGCATGAATCATATTGTATGCTTGTTTGTTTGTTTATGGCCTGTCGATGTTGGACACTAGGCTATGTATAATCCAAATGTTCTTACATCTCAGGTTTTAGGTTAGTTTATTAAAACATGTTGTTTGTGAAGGTGAGGTTTTAAGAGTAAATGATGTTGGCCAGCTTATTCTTAATTATGAATGGCTTGAATGCGCCTCTTCTGAAGTCAAAGTCATTTTCGTGTTTTGTGTTGGATGTGTAACTGTTCAGAGAAGGAAAAATATCATTAATATGCTGACATCATTGGTTTGGCGTAACATTGGCTTCTCCTTATAGTTTAATATTTAGCTCATCCCTCCTGTTTTCAGTCAGTGCATCATTACTAATTTATTTACATTATGAAAATGGCTTTACATGCTAGAAATTGTAGTTATTGAATGGCAGTAAAGTATCCTCATTCTGGCTTTTTGCACATATTTAAAGTACTTGTTTGAACTCAAAATGCAGTATAGATAGGCCTATAGTGAAATATAGTCTTATGAGGTGTTGAGTCATGACCCAAAGTTCCCTCATGCAGTATATGTAGTGTACAGCTGAGTATTAGGCGGAGCAATTTTGTGGTTTTGCTGTGGACATTCTGCCCTGGTAGTTTTTCTGTGTTAAATTGCAATATTGCGTCTAGAATTTTTCATCCTGGCCTTCATTTCTGCAGTGACACCGTACTGTCTGCCCAACACTCACCCTTTTGTTTTCTAGTGCACTGATGGGTTTTGTGTGTGTGTATTTGAGAGTCAGCCAAATGAGTTTTGTCTTCCAGCTGTTTTGAGCAAGTCAGCATCAAGCACCAGAGCAACTATCCCGGTCTGGTGTAATGGAGCGTGCGTGTGTTTGTATAATGGCTTTCAGCAGGTGGATAAGGTCATAAATTGGACCGTAAATCTTGCTGTAACGAAGGAAATCAAACCTGTCTGTCCAGCGGCACATACGAGGATCAGCATTGGGATTATGCATGTCTTGTTGTGTTGATATTCGTCTCATTTCGCTATTAGTTCATAAGGGAATATGCTGTATTACAGCTCTTTTTATGCTTGTTTCTTCCTTTTCTCTCTTTGTCTCTACTCAAGCACAGCACACGCTCTCATGCATGTTTGAAACTAACATGTGACAGACGTTCCTGTCTCTGTGACCATTGGGAGCACAATTATAACCTCTCATTGGGAATACTGAGAGCTGTAAACAGTGCTGTTCCAATCCTGGCTGTGGAGGAGGCCTCAGGACATTCAGCTACACAAAAACACTCTTCATGTAGTCTTGTGATTGTCTGAAGACCTTAAAATAAGTCATTTGAAATTCCAAAGCTGTGATGTTGTGCATTATTAATCTTTTAAATAGTCTTTGATTATGACAATGAAAATTTTAAATGTTAGTAATGATGAAGATGGAGAAAATGTAAAATCTCTTAAGTTTCTGTACCATTAAAAATGCTGGGTTGATTTTATTGAGATATCAGGAACAGTTAAAAAAAACTAATACACTAAAATGGTTAAAATTAGTTTGAATTAAAGCAAAGCTGAAATAAATAAATACGCGTTTTGTATAAATAAAAAAAGAAAACGTAAATGAAAATTATAAATGATGCCTAGGCAGCTTACTGAAATAAAATAAGTTTAAGTGCTATAATTATCATAAAAATTTTACATTTTAAAATGGAAATATAAAAAAATATTAAAATGACAAAAGCACATAACAGCATCTCTAAAACAAAAGGAAAACTTAAAATATAAAAATAAAATAATTCTAAATATTAATTAATACTGTAATATAAATAATGCTATAATAACTCATCAACAAGCAATTCATTGTCAGATATTTGAATAAGATTATTGGCATAAAGACCCGTTCACACCAAGGATGATAGCGATAAAGATGTAGTTCTAAAAATCGTTCTCAATATGAAAGAATAGTCTTTCACCACAGCTATAATGATAAAGGCATAGAGAAACGATATTGTTGGAATCACTTTCAGAACGATTTTTTTCCAGCTGATGAACGATACAAACATTGAGACCCAATCAGAATCCATCCTGCTATAACGAGCTTGAGAATTTAAAGCGGCAGACCGAGCGTGCGCTTAGAATAAACAGATATCGTCCGCAGGTGTGGACACTAATATCGTTATCTTTATAGTTATCGTTCTTGGTGTGAACGGGACTTAAGCCAATATATGTGCCTATTATATTATTAATAATGGTGCATAAATGCATAATAATAAAAGATTGTCAGTATAATGCACATTGTCTGTTTTCAAGTATTTTTAGAGATTGTGTAAATTACTGCTCATTAATGTCAGCAATTTTGTGTGTTTGTGTCATTTGCTGCGATTATGTGGATGGATGTGTACAGATATAGATTTATAGATCCAAGATATCTTAATTTTACCGTTGGCCATTGAACACCAATATAAGCCTCTAGTTAAAATGAATTTTCGATGTAGGCTTGTGTTGTGGTGGATGTGAGTGTATTGTTGTGTTAGAGGTTGGTCAGGAAGACTAATATGCTTAGCTGTGTTACATTCACAGCTGTTTCCTCACCTGGTTAATCTAGCCCTGTGTTATAGTGGCATGGTGAGGAAATTTGCCATTTGGACGGTTGATAAGAAGTCAGTCTGGAGTGGAGAGGACACGTCAACCAGAATTAGCCAATTAGGATCATGAGGAAGTGTCCCTGCTAATGAGCAGATTCATCATAGGGTTGTGACGGTGAGGAAATTTTCCCACCGGTTAATCGACGTGTGACAACACCGGTAATACCGGTATCACCGTGGGGGCGGGGGCGGGGGCGTTCCCTCTTTTCCTCACTTTCCTTCACTTGTAAAAGCACCGTGCGCATTTTACTTTCACTTTGAAATAGCGGCAATTTGGCGTAAAACAATTGTTCGTTTTTAGTTTGTTTGAATTGTGCCTCTTTTCCTCGCTTTCCGTCGCTTTTAAATAGCTTAAAAGCGCCGTGCGCATTTTACTTTCACTTTTGAATTAGCGGCAGTTAGGCGTCAATTGCTTGAATGCAACAACAAAATACAACGTCAAACTCACTTTAGCGTATATATAAAACATATAACTTTTATTAACAAAACAAATACAAATACACCATGCTATAGGGCAGGCTATGCCTAATATAAAATAACAAATAACTTACATAAAGTTTAAATAGCCTATTTCCAGTTTTGTATACCTAAGTAAACATATATAATATATAACCAAATAAATAAGAAACGTAGGACGTTTATTAGCAAAACGAGTAAGAAAGCTTGGAGGCACACCTTGATGTCAAACGAAATAAATAAATGACACAAAGTTTAAAGTACAAATCAGCAAACAATGTGGAACCAATTAAATAAGAAACGAATGTTAAAAAAAAAAAACCTTCCAAAATCACCTTAGATAAACGGCAAAAGTCAACAGGCTTTTCAAAATCCAAAATATTGCCAAACAGGCTTTTTTTTGCATTTCGTTTCGAAACGAAATCATCCGCGATCGTCTTGTCTTGTCTGTCTCACCTCACTCTTCCTGTCAGTCAGCTCGACTCAGAATCGTTCGTCACGCTGCATTGAGCAGCCGCGTTCAGTTTTTAATTGTAGTGTCTGTTCTTTTACTGAACTAAATTATTTTTATTTCTATAAAAAAATCAAAACGATGGTGGGGGTCGGTGCCGCGGTGGGCAAGTGACGTAACCAGTGTTTTGGCTTATCACCGTCAACACCGTCTATCGCTGCAAGCCTAATTCATCGCTGAACTTGCTTCTGTTACCTTTAAAGTTCATTCGGTGAAGAGTTTGTCAGACTGATTTAAACCAAGAAGTGTTGAAGAATCAAAATAAATGATTATTTTAAAGGGGTCATATGATGCTGCTAAAAAAGAACATTATTTTTTGTATTTGGTGTAATGAAATGTGTTTATGCGGTTTAAGGTTAAAAAAACACATTATTTTCCACATACTGTACATTATTGTTTCTCCTCTATGCCCTGCCTTTCTGAAACGCGTCGATTTTTACAAAGCTCAAAGCTAATTACGGATTATAATGACTTGTACTGTCTTTTTACGCATTGTTGCATCGCGCCGCATAAACATAAAACCATGTCTGCATTTGTGATCGGAGAAATGACAAACAACAAGTGCTACTCTACACTGCTCAAAACTCGCGTTTGAATCATCAGTGGCACATTCTTTAAATATAAAAAAATGTACATGCAGTCTGTGAGTCAGAACAGCCGGCATTGGCTGCTCTGACTCTACCAGGATCAGGACACAGTCCTCTATAAAATGCGCTGGACACATCTGAATATTTGGGTT